GCAGTTTCGGGGAAGGAAGCGCGCGAGTGCTGCGACACGCTGAGCAATGGCGTGAAGAACTTGTTATGCCACTGTTAGCTAGTGGCGTCTTTATGACTCTTCGGGGCCATGGCGCTATTGGGCGTCTCCGGGGCTTATTGGGGGTCTTGTGTGGGCCCGTCTGGGGCTCGTTGGGGCTGTTTTGGGGAAATCTTGAGCTGTCCTGGTCCCTTTTTTTGCCCATCGTGGGGGTCGGGAGGGCCAGAGGCGCGGCCGGAGCGGGGGTGGCACGGTCGGTCGGTCGAATCAGCAGGCGGGGGGGCCACGGGGTGGAAGGGGCGGGGCAGAGGGGCGGCCGGAGAAGGGGCGGCGGGGTCGGTCGGCGGGGGTCACGGGGCGGGGGGGGGAGGCGCTGTCGGTCGGTCGGTCGGTCGGTCGGAAAAAAGAACCGGGTGCCACGGGGCGGAGGGGAGGGGCACGGTCGGTCGGTCGGTCGGTCGGAATGAGCAGACGGGGGCCACGGGGCGGAGGGGGGCGCGGGGGGCGCGCAGGGGGCGGAGGGCGCGGTCGGGAAGGGGGGTGACATGGCGCGTTCGGGTTCGGTCGTAAAACGGCCTTGCAGGTCGGACGGACTGAGCAGACGGGGGCCACGGGGCGGAGGGGGGGGAGGCACGGTCGGTCCGCCGGGCGGAATAGTAAGCAGACGGGGGCCACCGGGCCGAGGGGCGCGGGGGGGAGCAGAGAGGGCGGGAGGGCACGGTCGGGCAGACGGGGGGGCACGGTCGGTCGGTCAATCGGAATATGCAGACGTGACGTGGGCCACGGGGCGGAGGGGGGGAGCACGGTCGGTCGGTCGGAATAAGCAGACAGGGGGCCACGGGGCGGAGGGGTGCGGGGGGCCAGGCAGAACACGCGGGGGCGGCGCGCACCCTGGCCACACTCTAGCACGTATCCCAGCACACGAAGGCAACACACATCCCAGCACATATCCCAGCACACGGTGGCAGTACACATTCCAGCATACGTCCCAGTCCAGCGCAGATGATGATGAGGATGACGATGATGATGTTGATGCTGGTAATGTTGATGATGATGATGATGATGATGATGATGATGATGATGATGATGGTGATGGTGATGATGATGATGGTGATGGTGATGGCGATGAGGCTGATGATGATGTTGATGATGACTATGATGGTGAAGACGATAATGATGATGGTGGTGATGATGATGCTGATGGTGATGATGATGCTGCTGATGATGGTGATGATGATGGTGATGATGGTGATGATGGTGGTGATGATGATGCTACTGCTGATGATGATGTTGATGATGATGATGATGATGATGATGATGCTGTTACTGATGATGATGATGACGATGATGATGCTGATGATGATGATGATGATGATGAGGATTATGATGATGCTGCTGCTGATGATGATGATTCTTAGGCTTACGCCACACCGCCGACCCCTTGTTTATGCCAATCTGGGGGTAGTAGAAGCTGCGAAGGGGTGAAAGGCGAGTGATATTTGTTTGGTGTCTGTTCGCCGCCACCGCCAGAGGGTCTCGGGCAGTTCCGCGGGGAGGTCCGAGCGGACAGCGACACTGCGAGGTTTGGAGCCACTCGGGGGCCGTTTCGGAGCCTCTGGGGTGCTTCTTGGGGGTTCCTTGGGGCGTCTGGGCGGCCTCGTGAGGGCCTCTGGGGGCCTCTTGGGGCACTCTTGGGGCCCCCTGGGGCTCCTGGGGGCAGAAAGCTAGAGTTTCAACATGTTTGGTAGCCCTCTTGGGCCCCTCGTGGTGCCGTCTTGGAGCCCTCTTGGGCCGTCTTGGGGACCTCTTGGGCCGTGTTGGGGCCGTCTTGGGCCGTCTGGAGGCCGTCTTGGGGGACTCTTGGGCCATCTTGGGGCTGTCTTTGGGGCCTCTTTGGCCGTCTTGGAGCGTCGGGAAGCCGAAAAGGCGGAAAAGCAAAACACATCGAAAAACATTATGGAAAATCAACAATTTTAGATTCTTGGGGCCCTCTTGGGAGGTTGTGTTTGGGACCTCGGGGGCCGTCTTGGAGACCTCTTGGCCCGTCTTGGGGCCATCTTGGGCGTCTTGGAACGGTCGTTTGGCGTCTCGGGGCCTTCGTGGGCCGTCTTGGAGGCCTCTTGGGGGCTTCTTGGCCCGTCTTGAGGCCCTCGCGGGCCCGGAAAAGCCCCGTGAACCGCTCGTCCCGGCCGTGCTGCGCTCGTCCCGGCCCCCTCCCCCCCTCCAAATCGGCCCTCTTGGGCCGTCTTGGGGACCTCTTGGGCCGTGTTGGGGCCGTCTTGGGCCGTCTGGAGGCCGTCTTGGGGGCCTCTTGGGCCATCGTGGGGCTATCTTTGGGGCCTCTTTGCCCGTCTTGGAGCGTCGGGAAGCCGGAAAGGCGGAAAAGCAAAAAACATCGAAAAACTTTTTGGAAAATCAGCAATTTTTGACTCTTTGGGCCCTCTTGGGAGGCTCATTTGGGACCTCAGGGGCCGTCTTGGAG